ACGCTGGGATCGGGTGGACGCAGCGTGACGGGAACGACGTGAAGGAGGAGGCCACGGGACGAGGCTGTGCTGCCACCGCGTGCCTCTGGTTGAGCAGATCGAGCAGAAGCGGAGCAGGGCGTGTGCAGTCAGGCGGGTCGTGCAGCCCCCCGACACCTCGGGCCCCGGCTGTCTCTGGGCACTGGGGCGACGTCCGCTGTAGCTCCGCGTCTCGGGGGGAACCGGGGTCGCAGAGGGCGAGAGCTGCGGCCACAGCAGGGATGGGTCACACTGGGGACTGGTCCTGCTGCACAGCGGTCTCGTTCCCATGGGGACATGCAGGGGCCCTCCGGAGCCGCCGAGTGTCGGGCCTGGCGGGGAGCGGGGAAGGGCTGGGCTCGTCCCGGGCCGGTCAAACGGGAGGAGATGCGCAGTCGCTCTGGGTGGAGAGGGCAGCCGCTTGGGCCCCATCGCGGTTTCAGGGCCGGCGGGAAGGAACCGCAGCAGGAGTCGCCCGTCCCTCTTCCCTGCGCCCAGGTGTCCCTCCGCCTCGGTCCGCGATGGCTTCAGAACGCCTGACCCGAGCCCCCGGCGGTGCACAGGGGCGGGCTCGCTCTCTCCACCGGTGTGGGACTCGGGTCTGTCCCTTCCCCGCAGGTGGCCGAGCTGCCTTGCACGACGTCTCGGCCCCTCCGTGCCGCCCGCCGTGTTCCTTCTCCGTTTCCTTTTGTTAGTTGGCCACGTGGACCCTCTCTCGGCGGTGGACGGGCGCCCTGCAGCCTGGGCAGCCAGGGCCACCTGTCAGTGCTCCCAGACAGGCAGGTGACGGCGCCTTGGTTCTGAGTGCCACGGGTTGTGCGTTAGCAGACGCGTGGAGGGCGTCGATGGGCTTTGCTGCCGACCTGGTAGAAACAGACATCTGTTCTTCTGCGGATGGGCAGAGGGCTAAGGCTTCACTCAGCGGCCCTGTGGGTCAGAACTCAAATTGCGGTTTTTCGTTCTCGATGTTAATTTTCTTCCTAATTTTTTTCCTTTTAAAATTTATTGCACCTCACAAGCTAAGACCGATAGAGCAGGTATCAGGGGACTTGCATTAGCTGGAGAAATCCGAATGCTGTTTATTCTGAGTCCATCACCGAGATTGAGGCTGGACCTCAGGACTTAGTTTCTGCGGAAAGGGTCCTGGCCCTGGAGGCCAGTTGGTGGCCAAGCCTTCGATGCCAGGAAAGCAGAGGTGGCGGCAGCCCTGCTCCCCTGCAGCCGGCATGAGAAAGCCGCCTTTCCGAGCACCCAGTTCACACCCGCACTTGTGGGACTGTGACCCAAATGGAAGTTTACACAGCGGCCCTCGCCCCGGGGGGTCAGATGTGCTCTCAAGAATAAGTTTTTTTCTTTCCACTTAAAAAAAAAAAAAAAGAGAAACTCTGGGTAAGTAAGTGGGAGGATATGGAGGACTGGGAGGAGAAAGAGAAGAAGAACCTTCCTTTAGTTTTCTTTTTCAGAAACGTCAACAAAATGGAATGAGAAAAACTCCAAAGTTTTTTTCTTTCCACTTAAAAAAAAAAAAAAAATGAAACTCTGGTGCATAGGCCGGTACTTGGCAGGGACTGCTTCAGCCGAGCGGTGGGGCCGCTTGTGCAGACCGCGCCCCGCATCAGTGACACCCATGCTCCCCAGAGTGTGCAGCAGCTCGGGGAACCGGGGTGCATCGGAGCCCTCAGCAAGGGTGTGCCAGGGGGTGTACGTAAATGAGGTGGTTTTTTTTGCCACCTCAGAAATGATTCGACCGTGCAGCCTGCAGGGATGGAGAAGGGGGACCCCCTCTGAGTCAGCTGAGCTGAGCGAGGAGTGGGGTCCCGCTGAGGGGTGCCATGGGGCGTGTTTATAAATGAGTAGAGACAGATCTGAGGTTTTCTGTTCCTTTTGTACAATTCTAGTGTGGGTTCCCTTTATTTGGGGCGTAAAACCCAAGTTACGGCTTTAATCCTGTGTTTCAAGTCACGTTTGCCAGCAGCAGTGCAGGAGAGAGACCGTGGTGAGCCTTGGGGCGAGGACCCCTGGCTTATATCCTGCCCTCGGCTGGCGGGCAGCACGGGAGGCTCTGGGACCGGGCCTCGCTGCTGTGGTGTGAGACAGGGACCAGAGGGCCACGCGTGCCCACCCGTGGCGCACGGCCGGTGGCTGCCCGTCTTGCAGCTGGTGGAGCGACCCCCGCCAGGCCGGGTGGCCGCCTGATGCCTCCACCCGCCTCTCAGCTGTGGGGCCGTGGACAAGGGGCTCGAGCTGCCGGCCTCACTGTTCCCCTGCAAGGTGCACACGGGAACATAACAGGCCCGCCTCGCATCGTGAATTGGGCGGGTTTCAGAATCTCCCTGGACGTCTGTTAAGTGGGGCGATGACTGTCCTTGCATCTCAGTGTTTATTTGCTTTAACTCTGGGGAATGTCAGAGTGAAATAGAGCGACGCGTCGAGTGCTCGTTGGGCCGCCTCGCAGAGCTTGTTCGTGGCCACCTCTGCTGCTCCTTGAAAGACGGGCAGAGACGAGCAGAGCGACCCTTGGGGGTTGTGCCCGTCCGCGTCGCGCCTCGCGGCCCTTCCCTGGGTTCCCCCCTCGGGCGTGTAAGCGCCGGACACACACGCGGGGCTGCGGCCGGCACCATTTTGAAACTTCTCCGCCTAACCGTCTGTGGACGTCTCTCCATGTAATAGCTGCAGATGTGCAGAGCCTAGAAATTGTCGCAGTGACCTGTTTATCCGGCCCGTTACTGATGGGCACGTAAGCCGTCGTCCGTCCGTCCTTTACGATGGACCGGGATGAGCGCTCGCGTGTTTAGGTGTCCGCGTATTTTAGGGTAACTGCCTAGGTGTAGAGTTACGAGATGCCAGGGTGGACGGCTTGACGGGATTCCTGAAGCAAACCTCCAAAACCACCTGGCTTGATCAAGAAGGTTCATTTTTTCCACATTCTCATAAATACCGGAGAGGCAAAAATTTATTTATAACTTTAATTTGTGTTTCTTCGACTAAAGGCTGCTGCGTTTTCTCGTTCGTTGGCTACTAGAGTTTCCTGAACGCTCTGTCCATCCACGTACGTTGTCTGTTTTCCTGCTGGAGTTTTGGGTCCTTAGGAATTCACAGACTGTACATCCAGGTTTACGTCCTCGGGTCTGTGAGTTTATCACGTCACAACATTTTCTGAATTTATTGAGCAGTTAGAGAAGTTTTAAAAATCTGATGGGGTCAAGCTTGTCTCTCGTGACCTCTCCTTTTTGGTTCTTTGCTCCCAGCCCCAAATTGTAAAAGGTTGTTACATTTAAAAATACTCTCTGGATGTTTTGTTTCACTTTGAAATGTTATACATTTGCAGTTTGTACCCGTTTGGAATTCGTTTTGTAATAAAGATGTGAGGGCGTTCAGCTCAACTTGTTTCCCCTCAGATATTCAGACACTTGTTATAACTCCGTCCCTGACTCCCGTCCCTCTGACTGCGGCGCCACCGCAGCCACACCGAACTGTCCCGGGGGTCTGCTCACGACCTCTCTTGTGGGCTTTCTGCCTGCCTGCTTCTGAAGGTGGCGACCTCCCTGGGAGCAGGGCCGGAGCAGGTGCTCAGGAAGTGACGAGGGAGTGGGATCAGAGGCTGGGCACACGCTCGGACCTCGGTGGCAGCTGTGATGACGCTCTCAGTCGCGAGGCTGACCTTGGCGAGGCGACGTTGTAGGGCTCCGTCAGTTCACGCGGCCTTAAACCTGTCCGCGGTCTCCAGGGACGTGAGGCAGCTTTGCCCGGGAGCCGTTTTCTGGACTCCTCGGCTTCTCATCTGTGTCGTGTTTGCCTGGTCCGGGTGACGGCCAGAGGAGACGGCGCCCCTGAAGGCTCCTCGCACCGTGCCTGGAGCCCTGGTGGTGGCCGTTCCTAAGTGACGGCACACCTTACAAAGGGACGTCTCGCGTTTTCTGTGGGTGTCGAGAGAGGTTCCGGGTGACCAGGACAGACGCAGAGTTGGGGTCCCGGAGTGCCCTGGGTGCTACGGAGGGACGAGAGTGGGAGGTGGGCAGGTACCGGGCCAGGTCTCGTGTGTTTGGGGCGATACGGAAGGACTTAGGTTCTCTGAAGATGACCGCCCTGGAGGGAGAGAGGCGCATGAACCCCTCTGCGAGGGAGCTGGGGTGAGTTGCCGGCCGCGCTGGTGGAGGGCCCACGGGAAGCTGCTTTGGCGTCAGGTGGCCGAGCGTTTGCTGGGCGCTCTGCCGGCCCGGTACCTGAGGCGACTGCCCCTCCTGAGTCCCCCCCAGTCTGCTGAGAGGGAGGGGCGGCCTCCTGCGCCGGCCGTGGGGGCTGTTTGGTGAGTGGCGGCCTTGAGCTGACACCGCAGGCTGCTTGTGAGAGACAGTCATGGCCTTCACGCCGGAGCCTCCTGCTTTGCCCTAAAACACTCGGCATCGGGTTATAAATCAGGGCGTTTCCACCACGAGTCAGCGTGACCCCCGACAGCCTCGTACTCACCTGCTCAGGCACTCCTGCACGACAGCAGACACACAACCTGCCCTGGCGACGCTCGCAGTCCGGTGGGAGAGGCAGTTACCGACCAGACGTGACTGAGACGTGAGGGAAGGCGTCTTCCTTCCTCCCGAGCTTCGGCCACGTGCTGGCATCGCTAGGCCAGATTCTCGGGCCGGCGCTAGCGGGAACCGCCGGCCACACCCGCCATCCCGGGGACAGAGCTGTGGTTCTGTAAAACTTAGTTTTACGAGTATTTCTTTAATTTCTCCTTGTATATATTGCGGCATTTCTAATACTGTCAAGTAAAGACAGATGGTGGGTCAGAGGGGATGTTTTTAACTTATAAGGGGAATTTTGCGAAAACAACTTTTACAGGAAAATTTTTTTTTTTTTTTACACATCACAGGGGTGGCTTTGGGAACCATTTCTCAAGGAGATGGCGTTTTTGGATGATGGTTAGAACTTCAGGTGGAACCACAGCAGCTCATTTATAAAAACCCACTGTAGACAAAAGTCTTTGAAGTTGCAAGAAAATTGAGAGTAAGTTGTTAGCGCCGGCCCGAGGGTAGTGGCTGAGTTTGAAAGCTACGTGTGTGTCATGTGCCCTGTGCACGCTCTCACTACAGCAAGGTGGTATTTTTAGAACGTTAGTCATTCAGCTACAGAAGCTGGGCGAGGCGTTCGAGCGATTTCTGGGGCGCCCTGCACCCCAGCTGTACTGTCACCGGCGTGGTTGCCCCTGCTCGATTGCCTTCCAGGACCCGCTCCGGGTTTGCCCAGCACCAGGGTGACACAGATGGGAATTTCCCAGAGAATTTTTACCAAGAGAGGAAGAAACGAGAGACTTACAGGAACTGCGTGGCCGTATACAGATGACACATTTCCAGAGAAGCTCTGTGACCCCATGGCTGGCTGGCTCCCCACAGGCCGCCTTCCCACAGCCTGCTCGGGGGGTCCCCCTCTCCTCCTCTGGTTTCCTCTTCCCTCAGCGGGACCAGACCTGTCCGAGGGCACGAGGGGTGAAGTGACCGTTCCCCTGAGGGTGGGGACATGGCCTCCTGTTTATCATGACGTCGAAACCCCTGCTGGCTCCAGCTAACACTCCGGGTTCCAGAGCGTGCTGGTCACAGACGCTCCTGTTAGTGACCGCGCACCTGCCGACCTCCAGGGGCATGGGTCCCCTGCGCCGTCGCGAGCCCGGGGTGCTCATGAGTGGACCTGGAGCGGAGACCACTGAGGTTGGGAGTGAGCGCGGGACACACGGACGGCGTCTGGCCCGGCTCCGCTCCGGTGGGACCGGATGGCGGAGGCGGGG